TTGGGAGAGTCCAAGTTAAATCCCAGACCTAGAATTAGCACGTACCAGGCGAGACCCCCCTTTTTTAAAATTGGAGGTCAGTCGCGACACAGTTAAACATATACAACAGGGAAAATGAATGTTAATTCGATCTTAAAATTTTCAATTTTGTTAATTTGATCCTAAACCCTTGCGCGAAATTTCAATGTAGTCCTTCCGATTAAATTTCGCCAGAAATCACTGACGTGACGATATGCTTATATTGAAATTTTACGCAAAAATTTAGGATTAAATTGATAAAATTAGAAAAACTTAAGACTGAATTGGTATTCATTGATTGGACACTTTCTTTTGTATACAACACGATCGGGATTTGACAAGATTTATACGGAACATCATCGTACCTCCTGTCCTTTTCAAAAATAAAGGGGAACTATGATCATGGACCGACAACTAGGCGCACGGCGATTGCTACGGGTTCCTCAACGCCGGTCCTCCCGCCTCACTGCTCCATCAACGTGGCCGCTTCGCCGGGCGTCCGCCGATCACCCCCTCTGGATCTGGATGAGCGTGGACCATAGAAGGTCGAGTCCATAAATTCACTTTCCGACGAAGAAGAGCACCTTCACATCGCACAGGAGACGAACACAAGTTCACGAACTTTGAGAGAAAGAGAGGGGGGGATGGCCGGAGAGAACTACTGGAGGACAGCGGCGGACACCCACAGGGTGAGGGTGGGCGACGCGACCGACGTGTGGAGGAGGCCGAGGGGCAAGAACTTCCGGTACAACACGACCACCATGCTCGTCGGCAGCTTGCTCCTCTCTTCGCCGTCGGGGTCTACGCGGTCTATGCCGACCGGAGGCACAAGGCTTGCGACGTGGCGAGAGTGGCGGATCGCGTCGCCGAGAGGCCGCCCCGCCGACATCGGCGGAAGCTGACCCGCGGAAGTGAAAGTAAATCTAGCCATTCAGTGAGGCTGTATGTTCTTTTCTTTCTTCTCCTCTTCTTTGGGGAATACAAGTTTATATAGACGGAGCCGCAACTTTGTATTTGTGCGGCAAGAAGGATATACTCAACATGAAATAAAATCTTCATATAATTTCTGTTTGTTTATTTTCTGAAATTTATATCCAATATGAAGTAGAGACTTATACATGTGGTATTTATTAAACTTAAAACTTATTGCTTGAATACGAGCCAAGTTTCTTTGGGACAAACAAAGAAGGCATAAGGTATAGTGAAATGTCATGCGGCGAATGTTTAAGCGAACGTTTTCTTGGCTACCTTGAAATAACTCAAAAGGTGTTTTTTACCTGAAAAATAGATCTTTTGAATTAAAAAATGAAATGAAATAAATTATGTATGTAAATGTAATCAAACGGCCTCCAAGCATGCCTCTTCGTCGAGAATACATTTAGCGAAATCAAAGCATCACGTCAAATGCGAAACGTGAAGCGCATTTATTTAGTCAGATTCGTTCATGTTTTAACACGTGACCAAGCATTGTAATTAAATAAAATATTCTGTAAAAGTTGAAGTTGGGATCATAAATCCACGGCAGCTTTATTAAAAGACTTGAATTTGGCCGCTCAGCTTTCTCTCTCTTCCTTTAACTCACCTTTTCATTTGTGACAAAAAGAGAACGACAAAAATCACAACTTTGTTCTCTCGTTGCTTGAACGCTCCTTCCCCCAACTCCCACTCCTTGGAGGGTGGTTGATCCGGTCGGGCAACGGGTCCTTCAAGGGTGGGTAGCGAGACCGGGAGTCTTGGGAGGTCAGGTTCGGGTCTTAGCAAGGGTAACGCGATGAGGAAAGGAATGGAGAGGTAAGAGCTGGAGTTGAGGAAGGACCGTTCGAGCAAGGAGGGAACAAAGTTGCGTTTTTTGTTGTTCTCTTTGGTCACAAATTGAAAGGTGAGTTAAAAACAGAGAGAGAAAGCTAAGCGGCCATTTTCAAGTTTTTTTAATAAAGATGCTATGCATTTATGATCCCAACATCAGCTTTTGCAAAATATTTTATTTAATTATAATGCTTGGTCACGTGTTAAAACGCGAACGGGTCTAATTGGATAAATGTGCGCCACATCTGCAACTGACTTGGCACTTCGATACTACTGAATATTTTCACCGCTTTATCTAATTGACTAGACTTGAATAGTATTTCCTCCACCAATACCATGTCATGATGGAAGGGTAGGTTATGGAGACACTTCAAGACTTTGGCGGTCACTTCTCAAGATTATTTTGAAATGGAATCCGCATTGCGGACAATTCAGACACTTTCGTGTCCCCGCATGGATAAAGACCAACGCCAATGGATCTTCGAGGGGTAGGTAATCCAGGACCTGCAACTCCTGGAGGCCGCATTGTAGGAAAAGTAGGCCGTCTGCTTCTGGTTCCTTACAAAGGTTTGGGCCATCCACAAAGGATTATAAGTTAGAGCTTGTGCTCTGGTTCATTGGAAAGTCATCCATAAATCTGATTCTTGCTAGGCGACAGAACTTCTCAAAGGAGTGCGGGCTCACAACCCGGGCATGGACCGGCTTGTCGAGAGGACATCCGACCTTTCATGTTGGAGGTATGTTGTGATTAGGGACATCAAATGAGTGGGTCGGATTGGGTTTGGAAATTGTCCCATCCAAATCGACTCGTTTTATGCAATACAAATTTAGTCACTCATACCTGTGCCCGACTCGAACCCGACCTGGCCCAACCTATTTACCAAAACACTTTTATGTTTAGTCCAATCTATGAAAATTAGCATCCATCTAGTTAATTTCATTTAAGCTCTTCATGTTTATATTTTTCTATAGTCACTATTTCGACTATAAGATGCTAAAGAATTGGCTTTCAACATTCCATAAAATTTCAATTTTTGTGTTGATTCACAATGAAAAAATAAGAGAAAATTAGTACTTGGTAGTGAACTTATAAAATTACAGCAATAGATAATGTGGATGAATTGAAATTTTAATTAAATGAAATATAAGATATTGAAGAAAATGATTTATTCTGACTATGGATTATAATTATAAGAACTAAGATTAGAATATTATATAAAAATAACAATGCCAAATGCAAGTAAGGAAAGACATATTCTAATAACTAATAGACGAAACTTACAAGATTAATAAAAAATAAAAAATAATGGTAAAAAAGGAGCTGTATTGATATTTTCAATAAGGGTGTAGTCGAGCTCATCTTGCAGGCGCATTAAGACTTCTCTTAATTTGGAATAGTTCGAGGAATCCATTATTTTCTCATGAAGACTGAAGAAAAAGTCATAAATGTGCATTGAATATGGGTAAATTATTAATCCATTTAACATTCATAAAATTTTGGGTTTTGCTATTCTAAACCAATTTATAACCCATTTATAGAACATAACTAAATCATATAATGACTCAACCCATCAAATTTAGGTTAAAAAAATGAATTTATGATCCATTTTGGCAGGTCTAGTTATCATCCTCTAGCATGCATATCAAGAAGGCACTTGCGCCGATCGATTGTCAAATCAAGCTCATGTCCATGGAGAAGAGTTTCAATTGTTACGGTCTGATCCACCAAGAATAATGCTCCTCATTTTTAGGATATAAAGCTGGTACACTTGTAACAAATTTACCAAAAGCTAATTTTTGACAACCAAAAATCCCAAACTGATACACTTATAACAAATTTACCCTCCGTTAGTTTTTATCAAATTTTACCATCAAATTGCTAAATTAAATGACAAGTGACAGTTGACGGATGTGCCATTTTAGGGTTTTACCTCTCTATTTGTTGCAGATTTACCAGTTTGTGATTTTTTGTGATATTAATTCAATTTAACGGAGGGTAAATTTGTCATAAGTGTACCGATTTGGGGTTTTTGATGATAAAAAAATTCGTTTATAATAAATTTATCACAGGTCTACCATTTTTATGTTTTTAGTAGTCAAAAAATTAATTTGGGATAAAATTTTCACATGTGTATCAAGTTGAGATTTTTCGTAATATCAACTCTTTACAAGTAGCTTTCGACCTCCAACGTAGGGGTGTCCATCGGTCCGGTTCAACCCCGAAACCGGACCAAACCAAACGATTCTAAATGGTACCCCAAAAACTTGACCATATAAATTTTTATATTTTTTATCCTGAAATAAATTGTAAATATACTTTTTTTTACATTTTGAAGCAAACCTTATATTATTAACTTACATTTCAATCTTCATTTAAAGACAGTAATGAATTCCATATATATAGAAGCAAACCCTACACATTTCTCCGTAATTTTGTTTGTCCATATATATATTCTTTTATTATTTAATATATGTTGATACGATGTCATGTAATAAAGTAATGACTATAAAATCTAGTAGAAGGCTAGTCGATCATCAATTAGCGTGGCACCCTTGATCATGTAAACATTTATTTGACAAACAAATTGAATATAATGCTCTTATTTTTCTTTTAATTTTGGGAAACTCCCACTTCAAGGGAATAGAAGGAAAAAAAAAAGAGAAAAGAAAAGGAGTTACCAGTTCATGGGCAGGCCCTAGAATCGGCCCGGATCAATTCTCGGTTCCACAAATCGGGAAACAACCCTACCCAATTTGGTTCTTATTTCTAATGTGGAATCCCTTACTCCAAAAACCCTTGAGCCAAATATTTGGTGTTTGTTAACACAATCTCAAGAGCCTTTGATGCAAAAATTTGATTTCCATATGTTCAAAGCTTGGGGCAAATTCTCGAGCCATATGGAGTTGCACCATCTGGGGCCGCGCAACATAGGCGATGGGATTGCGTCACCTCGGCGGCGGCCCGTTCCCTAGGGTCGCGACACATCGGCGTTGCCCGGCCTTTCTTTCGATCTAATTTTTTTTCACTATAAAAATTACTTTGCAATAAGTATTTTTTACAAAATGTTTATCAAACATTCCTGTTCATGATCATTTTTCCACATTGTCTTAGAGTTGTCCCAAACGCACTCGATGAAAGAAATAGCCTCTATATCCAAACTCCAAAAATATCCACCACCCCCCTAATCTCTCTCATCTCTCATGGACGAGCCCGTGAGGTGAGGACGACGAAAGAAGAGAGACTTCTCTGATGACCCTTCTCCATTACCAGATAAGCAAGCTCTCTCTCTCTCTCTCTCTCTCTCTCTCTCCCTCTCCCTGAATGGAATGTCGTGGCTTCACGTACTGTGTGCGTTCTTGCGGTGCTTTCTTTCGTAGCGAGCGGTGGTTCGACCAACTTGGGTCGCGCAGAAACGCCCCTTGACTCTGGTATCGTCTGCTGTACATAGCCACCGGGTCTTGTTATCTTCCTTCTCACCCCATGGCTGTTTTGACAATCTGCCCTTCTGCTTCTTGTTGTGTGAGTATTGGTTTCGGCCCAGCTGTGTCCGACTATAATTTACTTCCATTGAGGAGTACATTTGGGGATTTGAAAGCTCCCAAACGCTGGTCTATTGGAAAGTCGAATGGGAACGGTATAAAACGAGCTGGGTTCCGTTTGTTTGTGGTTAATTGTTCGAAAGACGGGGTTTTTCCGAAGGTGCGGCGAAGAGGGTCCTTGTGTCCTGAAGAAGTTCTTGATGTTCTGAAGATGAGTTCGAGCCCCGAACAGGCTTTTGCATACTTCAATTCGGTCGCCGACTCGCCCGGCCAGGTCGTTCATACCACTGAAACTTGCAATTGCATGCTCGAAATCCTCAGGGTGCACAGGAAAGTGGAAGAGATGGTGGTTGTGTTCGATATGATGCAAATGCGAATAATCAACCGGAATTTGAGCACTTACTTGATTATCTTTAAGAGTTTGCATGTAAAAGGTGGCATTCGGCAAGCGCCATTTGCGCTTGAAAAGATGAGAAAAGCTGGTTTTGTTTTGAATGCGTATTCATATAATGGCTTGATATACCTGCTGCTTCGGTCTGGTTTTTGTAATGAAGCTTTGGAGGTGTATCGAAGGATGGTTTCCGAAGGGCTGAAGCCTAGCATGAAGACTTATTCGGCAATCATGGTAGCTCTGGGAAAGAGAAGGAACACTGAAATGGTGATGAGTCTTTTGAAGGAGATGGAAAATTTGGGACTGAAGCCAAACATATACACCTTTACTATATGCATCAGAGTATTGGGAAGGGCTGGTAAAATAGACGAGGCACGTGAAATACTGAAGCGAATGGACAGCGAGGGATGTGGGCCTGATGTGGTTACTTACACTGTGCTTATTGATGCTCTATGTAATGCAGGAAAACTCAATGATGCCAAAGAGTTATTCTTCAAAATGAAAAATAGCAGCCAGAAGCCTGATAGAGTAGCTTATATTACTTTGCTAGACAAATTTAGTGACCGGGGTGACTTAGAATCAGTGAGGCAATTCTGGAATGAAATGGAAGATGATGGTCATGATCCTGATGTTGTTACTTATACAATTCTTGTTAATGCATTTTGTAAAGCTGGCAATGTGGATGAAGCATTTGCCACTTTGGATGTCATGAAGAAGCAAAGAATCTTGCCTAATCTGCATACATATAACACATTGATATGTGGCCTCCTCAGTGTAAATAGACTGAATGATGCGTTAGGAATATTTGGCAGTATGGAGTCTTTGGGTGTAAAGCCAACTGCTTATACATACATCCTCTTCATTGACTACTACGGAAAAGTAGGAGATTCTAGAAGTGCTCTCGAGACATTTGATAATATGAAAGAAAGGGGCATCATTCCCAATCTTGTTGCGATTAATGTGTCTTTATATAGTCTTGCAGAAGTTGGAAAAATTGGTGAAGCAAAAGAAATCTTTTATGGTCTCAGAAATAGTGGACTTGCCCCAGATTCTATAACCTATAACATGATGATGAAGTGCTATATTAAGGCGGGGCAAGTGGATGAAGCCATTAAGTTGCTATCTGAGATGATTGAGAGTGGTTGTGACCCAGATGTGGTCAACATCAACTGTTTAATTGATGCACTTTACAAGGACGGTCGGCGAGACGAGGCATGGAAAATGTTTCATAAGATAACCGTCATGAAGCTAGTCCCTACCACTGTGACATACAACACATTGCTTGCTGGGTTGGGGAAAGATGGTCAAGTGCAGAAGGTCCTTAAACTTTTTGAGAGTATGACCAGGAAGGGGTGCCCACCAAACACAATAACTTTTAACACACTGTTTGATTGCCTTTGCAAGAACGATGAGGTGGATTTGGCCATTAATATGATGTACAAAATGGCAGAGGTGGGATGTTATCCTGATGCTTTGACTTACAACACTATCATCTCTGGTTTAATTAAGATTAACAGTGTCCATCGTGCATTCTGGTTCTTTTTTCAGATGAAGAAATCACTCTATCCTGACCATGTAACTATATGCACCCTCCTTCCTGGCATTGTGAAAGATGGTAGGGTTAAGGATGCTGTTAAGATTGCTGACAATTTTGTCAATCAGGACATGGTCTGTGTTGATGGGGCCTTTTGGCAAGATTTAATGTCTGGTGTTTTGAGTGAAGCAGGCATATCCAAAGCAGTTGTATTTGCTGAAGAGTTGGTGTGTAACAGGATATGCCGAGATGACTCTGTGTTGATACCACTGGTCAGAATGTTATGTAAGCATAAGAAAGCCCTTCATGCATATGCCACGTTTGAAAATTTTACCAAAGACCTGGGGGTTATTTCAACAGTAGAAACATATAATTCTTTGATTAATGGGCTTCTTGACATCCATCGGATGGAAAAGGCATGGGATGTTTTCAATGATATGAAGACTGCAGGTTGCGCACCAGATATTTTTACATACAACCTTCTACTCGACAGCCTTGGAAAGTCTCGGAAATGTAGTGAACTTTTTTTATTGTATGAGGAGATGCACCGGAAGGGCTGCAAGCCTAACACCGTGACTCACAATATAATCATCTCCAGTCTTGTGAAGTCAAATGACTTGGATAGAGCCGTGGATTTGTACTACCATCTGGTAAGTGGAGATTTTAGACCCACTCCTTGTACATATGGCCCTCTCATAGATGGACTCTTGAAGTCAGGAAGACTGGAGGAAGCGAAGAAGATCTTTGAAGAGATGGGGGACTACGGCTGCTGGCCTAATTGTGCGATATACAACATACTGATTAACGGGTATGGGAAGATGGGAGATGTGGAGAATGCATCTCTTCTATTTAGAAGTATGATCAAGAAGGGAATAAGACCTGATTTGCGGTCATACACCATTATTGTGGATTGCCTCTGTATGGTGGGCAGAGTGGATGATGCTCTGCACTACTTTAATGAGCTGAAACTAACTGGCCTTGATCCTGACTTGGTTGCATATAATCTTATAATTGATGGACTTGGCAGATCGCGTAGAATAGATGAATCTCTCTCTTTGTTTGAAGAGATGCACAATAAAGGTATACGTCCCGACCTCTACACTTACAACTCCTTGATACTCAATCTAGGGATTGCTGGAATGGTGGAACAAGCTGGGAAAATGTATGATGAAATACACCTTAATGGCCTTAAACCAAATGTCTTCACGTATAATGCTCTTATTCGGGGATACAGTTTGTCAGGAAAACCGGATTCTGCATATGCAGTCTACAAAAGGATGATGGTTGGTGGCTGCAGCCCTAACCCAGGAACATTTGCACAGCTCCCTAATTAATCACTATTGGCTTTTGACCCTGCTTTATAATTTGTTGCTCCTTATGGTGATGTCCATAATGAAGACAAGTTAGGTACTCTCCTTTCTTGAACCTCTAGTGATGTTTTGTCTTATGTACATGACAATTTTCATTAAATTGTTTGCAAAATGTGTATTGCTCTCATATCTTGATCGAGCAGATTTTCATTTGTGCACTTTAACTTGTTTATCTTGGTAAATATATTATTTTTCAAAGCCCTTGTGGGGATTCTTACAGAATGAATATTGTTGATAATTTAGGTTAACGTGAAAAGATTTGGACCGATGGACATGGCTATTGTTTATGCTTTCCATTTTGCACAGGATGCTTCTCTGAAGTTAGAGTTCGGATTCTACCACTTTGCAAAACATTGTTTGGTATCTCAGGATGCATTGAAGCATTTTGGCATGCCTCTGGTAAGGATTTTTACTAGGACAATAAATAGTCAAGCATTCAAATAAATATGTACTAACTGAGGTCACCTATTGGAGCTAAGACAGACTATATGTTTGCTTACAATTAAATACTGTGTAAATAAAATTCATGAATGGTGCGCTATGATGGGCCAGGTACGTTTCGGTGTTTGTGTGGGTTGTGATTAATCTTTTTTACATACCCCAGGATCAACAGCAATGGAGCTCAGAACATGGAGAGCAAACTGCTGTTGTTGATGATATCACTGTGGACTTCCTGGATGGCTAGTTTGTCCATAAAGCAAATCATTTACCATAGTTCTTGGTGGCTGCATTTTTTTTTTGGAGCTTCTATCAGCATCAAATGTTTTCCTTCTGTAGCCGTTCTCCAATTAAATCACTTGATTGATCCCTGCATCTAGGAAGAGCTTTGGTTATTATGTGATCAAACTCTTCTCTAGATGGTATCTAACCTGGTTGACTCTTGATGATCTGTTCTTTGGGATGGCACCTTGTAATTTACATTTGTACAGCAATTACCAATGTATCATAGGAATTATTATTTTCAAATAGAAAGTATTTATCTCCTGCCTTGCTGGGAGGATAGCTTACAGAGGAAGTGTCTATATGGGATTTACTGATGATGGGGGAGAGGAGCGTAACTTTGTTTTTGGTGCATCTGGTGTTATTAATTTCTATAATTTTTAGCAATAATAATGATAATAAAATGTATATTTCTGACTATGATGCCATTATGCAGTTAACTATGCTATCGGACCGCATGCTTAATAATATGGTACATGAGCATTTCGAGCAGCTGTGGCTCCTATAACTTTTGCGTTCTGTTCAAAGCTTTCAGATCGGTTTTGTACTTGACCACCTACAGTTGAGTGAGGACCGGTTGAGTTCCGTTCCATTGAATTGAAGTGAGGTGCTCATCATAACTCAGAAAGCTTTGCCTGATCGATCTGAGTTCGGCCTGTCGGATTGACTTACGTCCAACATGCGGAGATGATTCCGAAATGGGCTCTGTTGCAGAAAGATGAGTAGACTGGTTTTGCAAATTCTATTTCATTTGTAACTAGGGCTCTGTAAGTGTTCTCTCGTCTACCCTCTTTCATCTTCACTCGTACAAAAGATGGATTGTGGTTTTTCCTTTATCAAACTTAAATTTGTACCAGATTTCGTTGTTGGAGCTTTTCAAAACTTGACGACCCACTGGCCAATTGAACCCAATCTATATCACCTCAAGTTTTTCTCCATTACATAAGCATGACCCCCTTCCTCGGCCGAAACTCTATTCTGTTCTATCGATGCTCTGCGAAGTATTCATTACCATTTTCTTTCAAGTTTCGAGCATTAAAAGTTTCAAATTCAGTAGTCGAAGTACCTTTCCGTTCTCTCCAAGCCTGCAAATTCTCAGCGATTTCACCATTACCGAGCACATGGAACAAATCTTCTCACCAAGACGAAACTCTGCGATCTGTCAATGCACGAATCTGATGAACAGTCCAAGGGAATTGACCCTCTAGATTATATGTTCGAGCTGATGAACAGGCATTTTCCCTGCTGATTTTGGATCTGTTCGAGTAATGTTTACAATCTAAACTTGTCGCATGGTTGTAATGGTTTGCGCTATCTTTCCTTAGACACCGCGATCACCTGATTTTGTCGCATTTAGTAGGAGAACCAAGTCAATGAATTGGGTACCGTGAAACGTTGCAAAAGTCACTTGGAAGCTTTCAACGTTCAATTGAAGTTGGAAAATTACGATAGCTCTTGACTAAGCTTTTTTCTCTTTTGATAAGAAGTAATATTCAATATTTTAGAGAAGAATCCTTTTCTTTTCAAAGGGAGGAATCCCCTTGGTTTTCTTTTTCTGTTAGGTAAAGAAAAGCTTGTTCGAATCGAGTCAATGTTCATAAAAGAAAGGTTTGTCATTAAAATCTGGGTTTTGTCATGATTTGTAGAGTGCGATAGCTTCTAATGGCTTGTACCGTTCACTCCATTGGACTTTGACGCGGTTTCACCATTGGATACATCATGTTGGATTCTAAATTTCATTGAATTTTTGCAATTTTCTAACACAGTTGCTATTTTTCCTTTTCTTTTTTTTTTTTTTGGGAATTTCCAGAAATTGCGGTTATACTGGTAAAATGAAATTTCCACAAATAGGAAAATCACTCAGTATTGAGTACCAAGCAGAGCATTCTCATAGTGTCATTCAATGTTCAAACTTGGTTGAAAGCTGTTGGCACAATTTGGCGTATGAATAAGTGTAAGGCATAACTCAAATTTTCCAAAGAATCTGAACTTCTTGAATTGTGCTAATGAGACAGTAAAAATACTTTTTCCTTTGTTATTTTTATATCTTCTATTTATTATTTTTATGAGAAGAGAATACTATCCTACCCCTTGACGATGAGAAGATCCATGCCATAGCAGGCTTGGGACAAAAAGATAGTTGTTAGAATCGACAGTACTAAACGATTAAACTTCGAACGAACATGATCTTGTCAATCCTGAAGTACCTGTTAGCAGTAGGGGTAAGTATAGTCCGGGTAGGCGGTTCTCACCATGGAACCGGGAATCGCCCACTAAGGACAGGTTCCGAAAAATTAAAACCAGAAACTGTCCGTTGGTTCTATGGATCCACTCGAGAACTAGACTGCCGGTCCGGTCCGGTTCCCAGGTGGGTCAATGGAATCGGTCCCACCAAGTTTTACGCAAATGGAGATGATCAAGATCGAGAGAGGGAGGCGATGAACGGCCGAAGACGCTGCTATGAGTTGATGGAATTCGAGAGTCTATGCCATGAGTCGATGGACGATGAGCTTAAGAGTCGAGATCATAAATGAGAGATAGAGAGAAAACTCAGACAAAATGAGAGTGAGACAAGAAGAACACTTAGTTAAACAAATTAGAACAGGGAACCTGATCGATCCCCATGGGAACCGCCGGTTCTGATCCAGTCCGATCCGGTTTCGGGCAGTCCGGGTGGTTTCCGGTTCCTTTGCACACCCTTATTCAGTAGGTCGCAATGGTGCAATGGAACAAAATATGAATGTGCATGTTTCATCGAAATTCATTTTTAAGATATTTTAGACCCTAGCCTTAAGAGATGTATCATCACAAGGTTAATTTGGTATATCTTTACGTGCTCTTAATATGATATACCATTTATGATTGCAACCATTTTTACTAAACAGTAATCTTGCTTGCATAATGTGTGATGGATTTAGCTGTCCAATTGGCTAGGCTGCTCCCCCTTTTGTCTTGAACGCCAATGCCTATCTATTAAGTTATGGTGTTAGAATAATAGAATCTTTCAATCACATGAACATGAGATCAAATTAATAAATATAGCATATCCGAATCAAAAGAAGCCATTATTGATCCAATGAGTGAGATGATATCTTCCTGTAGGTATAAATCTTCACCACTTTCTTCTATAATGGTTGTGATGGGTGTATTTTTCTCTCAACAATTTTATAGAAAATAGAGGAATCATGATAATTGGATGCCAACATTCTCCACCAAAGAGAGACCTTATATAGAGGGAGTAATGGGATCAACCCTAGAGCTGCAAAATCTTAACCGTCCATCAAGGTTTGAGATATGGGTTCTACATGCCTAATTGGATGTCATAAATATATGGCCCATAATACATTTAATTAAATTGGGCCCATGTCAAATGTTAAATAATAGATCTAATAGATCACATAATTGGATTGGATCTTGTCAAGTCCATCATTCTCCCACTTGGCCAAAGGTTCTATTATCGATCTAATTCATGAGGCTTAGAACAACATAATCAAACATATACAACATTCCTTAAGTAAAGTCATGCCTAACATTTATTCAGAAAAGAATTGAAGCCAGTGTCATGTTCCAATGCCACATTACCATTTTCCAGTTACTATTCCAGCACAAACATTAAACACAACATTTAATGGCTTAATAGTCTTTTTTTTTTTTGGTCTGAAAGATACTTTTATTTATCTCATAAAGTTGGGCTTAGCCAGCAGAGCCCAAAGCAAGGGCATGATTACAAAAGAGAGCCCAAAGGGCCTGGGGTGGGGAAATAAGCCAATTATCTGGAAGTAATCATGGCCACGGTTCGGAACCGACCGTTTCCGATTCTGAACCGGCGGTTCCGGTTCGTGGCCAAGTATGAACCGGCCGGTTCCGGGCGGGTTCCGGTTCCGGTTCAGGTTCGGAACCGGTCGGTTCGGAACCGGTTCCGGGCCGGTTCATAATTTTTCTTTTCTGTTTTTTTTCTTTTTCTTTTCGTTTTCTTTTTTTTTTCTTTTCTTCCTCCGCCGGCCATAGCCGGGGCAGGCGGAGGTCGCCGCCCTCGCCGGCAACTGGTGAGGCCGGCGAGGTCGAATCCTCGCCAGATCTGGCGAGGCTCGACCTCGCCGGCAACTGGCGAGGCCGGCCTCCCCTGAGGCCGGCGAGGTCGAACCTTCGCCAGATCTGGCGAGGCTCGACCTCGCCGGCGTCAGGCGAGGCCGACCTCGCCTGCAACTGGCGAGGCCGGCCTCGCCCGATGCCGGCGAGGTCGAACCCTCGCCAGATCTGGTGAGGCTCGGCCTCGCCAGTTGCCGGCGAGGTCGAGCCCTCGCCTGATCTGGCGAGGCCGGCCTCGCCCAGCCCAGGCGAGGGCGGCCTCGCCTGAGGCCGGCGACCTCCGCCGGCCCCGGCTATGGCCGGCGGAGGAAGAAAAGAAAAAAAAAAAAAAGAAAAGGAAAAGGAAAAGAAAAAAAACAGAAAAGGAAAAACAGAAAAGAAAATAATAAAAAAATTAAAAAATTACTGTTCCGGTGACGGAATATTATTCAATATAAATTGTAATTAAAATGTAAATCGTAATCAAATTTAGGGACAAAAAGACAAGAGAGAAAGAGATGGTTTGAACTTAATAAATTATCATTAAGCACATTACAATTCGTTACAACGATCTATAAAAAAAAAAGGAGCACAATATATATATGCCCTAAAATGATCCCAAAACCTAAGCATTCCGTGCGTAGGGGACCAGAGGTCACATGTCGTCGGATTATACTTCGGTTTTCCTAAGCTCACGTGGGCGTACCCGGTATGAGAAACAAGGGTTTCCGAAATATTTGCCAACTCCAATAGTCCTTTTACCCTCAATAGTCACTACCCGTTCCAGTACCGGTACCGGTAGCGGTAGTATCTCCGTCGTTAAAGAATTCAGATTCATTATTCCGATCTATCTCTTGTTGTCGGTATTGAGCCTTCGTCCAATCAGCAACACAAGCTTGAATCTCCACTGATTCTGAAGCTAATCTTGAACGATGTTCGTCCAAAATATTACCTCCGGCACTGAATGCTTGTTCGACCGCAACTGTGGAACAAGGCGTTGAAAAAATCTGTTTTGCAATAAGAGAAAGGATTGGGTATTGGCTTGCGTGCCTCTTCCACCAATCCAAAATTAAAAAATCTGTACCACTTTCGGATTCAGTAAACTCAAATGAAACAGTTAGATAAATCTCTAATTCAGAAATATTTCCTATTACTCCCTTTTGTTTTTTTTGTCTATGTAATAAAAGTTGGTACCCTCTACTAATTTTACCTGTACTGTCATTTTGTATCTCTGTAGATTGAGAAAATCCAATATCACCTAAATTATATTTAGTATAAAATTCATTATATATTTCTATTACTACGTTTTTAACCTCACGTACTATGGTTGTAACATTTATCGCATCATAATGTAAACATTGATAATACGTACGCAAAAAATCATTTAAGCCATCCAATTTGCAACGCGGATAAAAAACACAAGCAACTAAATAAATAATGGGAATTTCGCTATAATAATGTAGCCACTTCATTTTCATTGTAACTATAGTATGTTGTAATTCAACATCATTTTCATATTCATAAAAAATTCCGACAATATTAGTACACTCTACTAAAAATAAATGTGTAGTAGGATAATAAACACCGGACAAAGTATAAGTTGCATCATTAAAAACCTTTAAAACATCTAAATTTTTTTGGCAAATATCCCACTCTTGTGGGTATAAATTAATCTGAGGTATATTATTAGAAATGAATGCACATAATAAATCTTTATATGCTAAAGATTCACTAAGCAAGTGGAAAGTAGAATTCCAACGAGTTGGAACATCTCTTGGAAATCTTTTTGGCTTTTTGCCATTTTCTCTACAAAATCTACCCCATTCTTTTATTTTTTGGGGATGTTTCCATAAAAATTGAATCGCCGTTTTTATTGGTTGAAGAAAAATATCAAGAGTGTTCAAACCATCTTATACACATAAATTTAAAACATGACAAGCACATCTAACGTGAAAAAATTTTCCGCCAAAAGCGGGTTTACAAATATTTTCTAAATTGGCAATTGAAGCGGTATTTGCTGCGGCATTATCAAAACCAATTGAAAAAATTTTGTTAAGCAAATAATATTCTTCTAAAATTTGCCTAATTATTCTATAAATATTATTTGCCGTATGCTTATCATTGAAAACTCTAAATGCAATAAGTCTTTTTTGAATACTCCACTCGTCATCTATCCAATGACATGTTATGCCCATGTAAGAATGATTTTGCCAATGATCACTCCAAATATCACTACCTATATGCACGCATCCATTAAATTGCATAAAAATTTTTTGTAAATCTTTTTTTCCATTTTTGTAAAGATCTTTAATTACTCGTTTAGTTGAATTTCTAGGAACACGTTTTGCTTGTGGAGCACATGCTTTTTGTACAAATTCATTAAAACCAAATCTTTCTCCAAAATTAAATGGTAAATGCTCAACAGAAATAAATTTGCCTAATTCTTCCTTATAAGTTTTTTCATTAAAACGAAATAAAGGGGAAGTGTTAGGATTGACGTACCCGGAAATTTGTTATTGCCCGATATCGATTCCCGTTTCGGTTGGATGTTTGCTCCTAAGATGTCGTTTAAATGTTCCATATCCTTGTCCACCTATATATTTATATATTTTCCCACAATATTTACAAATTATATCATACCTTTTTTGACCAATATCAAACCTTTCCATTTTCGTGAAGTGATTCCAAATGTCAGATGTAAATTCCCGTTCCGCTTCCTTTGTTGTAGATATTTTGGCAGGAGGATGAAAACTTTCTTGCGTCGGGACGCGTTCCACATCGGGAAAAATGTTGATTTCATCATCTTGAAAATCTGCATATTCACGAGGATCAAAAGAATAATGGGATTCCGTCATGATATTCTTACCTTTGCCAGTTGACACTCGACTTCCACTTGCCATTTTTTGAGTGGATTGAGAGAATTGAGCGGATTAATTGGGAGAATTAAGAAAGAATTGCGTGGATTGAGAAAATTGAGAGAATTTAAGAGAATTTGAGAGAATTTCGAGTATTGAGAAAATTTGAAACTTGAGAGAAGAGAATTTGAGAGAATTGTGAGTATTGAGAGAATTTGAGAGAATTTATAAGAAAAAAATGAGAAGAAAATTTAGGATTAAAAAAAAGAAAAGATAACTGTTGCAATTTTGCAACGGTTATCTTCTTTTTTTTTTTATAAATTTTTGCCCATTTGGGCGTTGGCAACGGGCCGCAAGGCGCAAGCCCGCTGCCCGCAGCAGGGCATGCAGACGTGCAGGTCCTGCTGCGGGGGGGTTTTTTTTTAAAAAAATTTTGCCCGTTGCCAGGGGCTGCCCTGGCAACGGGTCGCAGCAGCGGCAAAGATGGCTCGCACCTGCAGGTTGTGCTTTTTTTTTTTTTTTTGAATCACCCGAACCGCGGTTCCAGGCCGGTTAAAAAATTTCTGGAACCGGAACCGGGCCCGTAGGGCACGGGCCGGTTCCGGTTCCAAACCGCGGGGCACGGTCAACGGGCCGGGCCCGGATTTGACCGGGCAGGTTCCGGTCCGGTTCCGGGCCGAAACCGGCCCGTGGCCATGACTATCTGGAAGTTCTATTCTTCTATGGGCACGCGCAACCCAGTTTGCCACAACATTGGCACTTCTTCGACAAAAGACGAGGCCCACGTAAGGTAAATAGGATAAGCGAGTGGAGCATTCGGTAATCAGTGCTCTCGCTTCCCACTTCCCAGTTGCGCTGATCTGCCATGTGGTGAATACTTATAAGATCTAACCTATCTGATTCAACGAGGACTTCTTTGTACCTGTTTCACTTGACAAAAGAGAGCTTCCAAGAGGGCTAGGGCTTCGGCCATTGTCGGAGAAGACGCTCGGACGGACTGTGCGAGGCCGTCGACAATACATCTTGTATGGTCCCAGCAGATGCAAGCAATTGCTCTTTCGGTCGACCTTTCATCGAGAGACACGTTGACATTTATCTTCAAAATACCTTCCGCCAGGGCTACCCAGATCTGGGGAGAGGTAAATTTCCTTTTATTTTGTTCCTTCGTACCTTCAAAGCTCCATTTTTGGGTGTTTAGTTGCAAGATTCGAGCTAACTCCACTGTATTTATTGCATTTGGAATGGTGCCTCTAAAAATCCGACCATTTCGGGTCTTCCAGATTTGCCACATGACAGTTGCCATAGCTGCCAGAGGAGGTTTGTTAGGCGTGTTACCTGTGAAATTCATTAACCACACCTCAAATCGAGTCACTCTCTATGTTAAAGATTGGATTTTTAGAGATGGGTGTGACCAAACACGTTCTGTCCAGGGGCATAGTAGAAAAATATGTTCAACTGTTTCCACTTCGCTTTGACACAAGCTACAGATAGGATCAGGTACTATGTTTTTCTTCCACAAGTTTTCCTTAGATGGGATTGCATTTTGGCAAATACTCCATAGAAAAATTTTCGCTTTTGTTCTTGTCTGCATATTCCAAATGGCATTCCATAGAGCTTTTGGAGTATGGAAAGAGGAAGATGGCTGTTGTTGTTGTGACTTGTCTGCCATTTCTTGCCGAAGTGTTTTATAGTCATTTTTAACTGTATAGCTGCCACATTTAGTACTCGTCCATACAAGCTCATTCATTGTGTGCTGATGCTTAATAGGGATAGCAAGGATTTCCTGAGTAATCTTTTCGTCAAACAAATTGTTTAGGAGCCGTTCAATCCATTGTTTCTCTTCAAAAAACATCAACTCAGATACCTTATGTGGGTCATTCCTATTTGCTGGATCCCCAATTAGACCCCTTTTCAGCCACTTGTCAGTTCTTATGTTGACCCTTTCTCCATTTCCTATAGACTACATTACCGAGTTTGATATTGCATCCCTTCCCATGAGTAGACTTTGCCAATCCCTTGAAGGCTTGGAACCTTTCACAGTATGCCAAAAGTCTATCCTGTTAAAATAGATTTCTTTTAGAAGCTTACTGCATAATGCATCTTGATCTTTTACCATTCGCCACACTTGTTTACCCAGGAGGGCTTTGTTGATAGTAATTAAATCCCTGAAACCCATAACTCCCTTGTCCTTCTAGTCTTCATGATTTCCCATCTTTTCCAATGCAGTCTAGTTTTTGTTGCATTGTTTTTCCACCATAAACGAGCTATTCTTCGCTCAATTGCTTTACACACCAACATTGGAATTTTAAACACTAACATGGCAAAATGGAGTAAAACTCGAACCACAATTTTCAATAAAATCTCCTTACCCGCTTTAGACATTATTTGTTCCTTCCATCCTTCCACCTTTATATTTACTCTCCCCAATATCCATGCGAACATCTGTTTTTTCGATGCTCCCCAATCAGAGGGAATGCCAAGGTATTTCCCAATATGACCCAGCTCCGGTATCCTCAGTGTCCCTGCCATATTGTTCTTTAACACTTGGGGGCACCCCTTACTGAAGTAAATACCTGATTTATTTAGGTTTATGGTTTGTCCTAAGGCATAGCAATACTGATTAAGAACATCCGAAACATTTTGACACTCCTGAATGGTTCCATCTAGGAAAAAGATGGAAACATCTACAAATAATAAGTGGGATAAGGTTGGACAAAATCTGTTTAGCTTGATTCCTCTTATACTTCCATTTAAAACAACATTTTCTATCAGAGAAAATAAACAGTTTAATACAAAGATGAAGAGATAGGCTGATAGAGGGTCCCCTTGCTTGATTCCACTAGTAGGGTTAAAATAAGAGAGGGGTTCTCCATTGAACTTCACTCTAAAATACCTAAGTAACGCATTGAATAATCTGGCTAACCCATCTTTCACGAAAATCCATTTTCAACATACATGGTTCCAAAAAATCCCATTCCATCCTATCATAGGCTTTTTGCATATCCAGTTTCAGTACAGCCTGAAACTTTTCCTTCCGTTCTCTTACTCTTTGTTGGTGCACCACCTCTTGTACAATAAAGATATTGTCTTGAATATGTCTCCTACTCACAAAAGCGCTTTGTTCCCCCAAGAATAGCTTTGGCAGCCAAGTTTTAAGCCTGTTTGCCATTATCTTCGAATTATTTTATATGCAAAATTGCAAAGGCTGATAGGGCAAAATTGTTTAATTCTTTTCGGATTGGGTATGTTTGGCACCATGGTTATATGAGTTTTGTTCAAAGCTAGTTCCAGGACACCCAACATAAAAAACCCATTTATAGCCTCGAAAATGTCTTTCTTAATTACATTCCAATGGTATTGGTAGAAAATTCCATTCAATCCATATGAGCCAAGGGCTTATTTGCTCCTTGTTGGAATACAGCAGCATGTACTTCTTCCATGGCTAGTTTCACCACCAAGGAGTCATTCATTACTTTACTTACTTTTCTCGAGCACAAATTCAGAACAAGATGGCAATTTCTAGGTCCAAGTGTGGTATATAAATCACAGAAAAATGATACTGTCACATTCTTTAGTTGCTGCCTATCCCTTATCCAGCCATCATCTATGGATTTTAGCATCGAGATTCTATTTTGTTGCCTCATCTAGATTGCAGTGGCATGGGAATATTTTGTATTTTTATCCCCTCATTTCAACCATTTAATTCTCGATCTCAAATCCCAAAACATCTCTTCTCTCCTTCAGAGTTTCTCAATCTCCTCCTTTATACTCTTAATCCTCCGGCTGTCTTGCGGTAAGTTCATTTCATTTATTAAATTCTGTAACTCCAGCTTTAAAACATTGATGCAGCGAGAATTGTTTGGAAACTTTCTCTTGCTCCAGTATATCAAAGTCTTAGTCACTGCTTGTAGTTTTTCTTTTAAACTTTTTTTTAGCCAACAAAGATGATTGCCATGCCCCTTTCACCACTTCTTTACATTCAACATCCTTTGTCCAGAAATCTTCAAATCGAAACTCCTTTTTCCTCTTTTCTGAGTTTGTTGTACGGGACAATAACAGAGGGCTATGGTCAAATCCAATGGCCGGTAAAGCATAAGCTTCGGCTTTAGGAAATAGGATCCTCCATTCCAAATTACATAATATCTTTGATATAATTCACCCCTTCCCTATTGTTAGCCCAAGTAAAGGAGCATCCCTTGCGGTTAATGTCCATCAGTGAATAGTCATTCAAGCAGTCTCTAAATGCGTTGATGCGATAATGTTAAGCTATACTATTTCTCACTTTCTCACATTGATAAAGAACTTCATTCAAATCCCCTAAACATACCCAGTGTAGGTCATCGATAATGCTAATTAGTCTCATTTTATCACAGTTTCAGCCTCTCTTGGAAAATACTTGGGGCATGGATAAGAGAAATTCGCATTCTGTTTCTACTTTCCATATCTTCCCAATTCATATTAAGCATTTCCTGAGAAGCTAACTCCATTGTGATGTCCACCAAGTCGTTCCAAACTACAGCTAATCCCCCTGCAGTCCCTAAAGGGTTCTCAAAACATAATTGAATTGGAACTTTAAACTCCTTTTGAGTCGACATACCACACGTTCTTGATTTTTTGTTTCCATTAGTAGAACCAAATTGGGCCTTTCTTGAGCCGCTAGGGCTCTTAATGCCTGGATTGTTAGGGTTATGCTAATGCCAACATAATACTTTCATTTTTACCCCGGTGGCTTATTCGGGCTGGTCACCAAAGCCCATATTTGAGTTTCTTTCATTGTCTGAATAGAGTATCCATTAACTCAGCCTCCTCAAATAATTTTTCATTTAGTAATTTCTCTTCATTGGACGAATACCTTTTCTGTTTTTTTACTGGTCTGAGCTATTAGGCCTGTTCCCTTGTTCAACTTATCCACCTTAGAGGTGTTAGATTGTTTGTAGGCCTTTAGGATGCCATACTGGGGATTGAAATAACAGCCTTATCTCAATTTTTATCTTCAATTAGCACATCTTTTCCTTTCTCAACAAACCTACTGCTAGTCTGGTTTGCTTTAATGGCAGGATTACTTTCATATACCACTATTTGCCCCGAGCTTACTGGTGTTTCAGGGATTACATCTTCCTCCATCAGCTCCTTCGTAGTTTTTCCATAAAAAGGGCTTGATTCATTTGCTTCCGCCTTCAGCCATGAGCCAAAGGACATTGTATTTACTTTTTCAAATAGATTTTCCTTGTAAGGTATCTCACCACAATACTAGGCATAATGCCCCAACTTGCCACATGAATAACAAAAATGTGGTTATCTCTCATACCTAAAATCCAACCAAAGATTTTTTCCTATGTTGCTAAAAATCAAACTAAATTGTAGGGGACCAAAATGTCCATTGTAACTCTCGCCTTTCCCATTTGTAAGATGTGTATCCTTTGGCTTCAATTTTAACTTTTGACACACATCCAATTTCTTCTGCTTCTATAGCTACAACCCCCTACAAAATCCATTCAATAGGAAGTCCATGAATTTGGACCTAAAATGTGCATGCGTTAAAGATGTAGCAAGCAGGGGTATCATGCTCCCAAGGCTTTAATAGCAAGAGATGGTTAGCAAAAGACCAAGGGCCTAGGTTCAAAGCCCATATCTCTATCCATTTCGGAGAAGAAACGAAAACCAAACATGCCCGGTGCGAGCAGATTGATATCTACATTTTCCACTCTCCACACTCTTTTCATTGTGTTATGAAATGCCTGTATATTCACCTTAGGGTTTTGATATAATTGACCGATTAGGGCTAATCTACTTTCCATTACATTTTCTTCTGAGATTACATCATCTATTTCCTTGATCCTCCTATTTGACCATAAATTTTCTAACCTTTGCAGAGGGCCGCAAGGCGGAGGCCGGTATCATCCACTCCTGCCATATGATATTTCCTGAAGAGTGCGCTGGTTCCAGGTGCTTCTATGTACAGTTACTCACTGCAAGAGATGGAGTGTAGTATTGCTCTAACAATAGCTTAAGAAGATCGAAACATAATGAGTAGTGTAGGCAAGAGGGTTGGGTTTTAGGTTTTTCAGGGGAATAACTGTACCGTGTTTATGGGAAAGGAGGCGAGTGTGTGTTTTAGGGCTTTAGTCATTGAAATTGAGCAGAGGGGACATGATTAAATGTATTGAGTTACTGGCGAAAAGCGAGAATGTGTTTCTGGGGACGAGGGGGTACGAAGATTTTTGGAAGGAATTAGAGTTTTGAATGAACTTAAATAAGGCTTGTGGAGAGCTACATTGATGGTGATATGAAAACACTACAGATTGTAGGAAGAGATTCAATCAAAAGAGGTGGAGATTGTGGATGCGTTTAGGGTTTTTTTGGGTTGTAAGGAGCTACCATGATGGAAGAGAGCTTTCTAGCTGAGAGAGACAATAATGGCTTAATAGTCACGAACAATAATGTTTCATAATATAAACATGTTCATGAGGTCCATACATATTTGTTTGTTTGAAAAGCTTCAAAGGTGCACATATAATAAGAAGCAACAAATGATAAATCCAAATCCATTACACGAGGTGATCACAAAATAAATAAAAATGCGTCATGTGTCCAAAACCATGGCCTAAACTAAAGGCTATTAACTGAACACATACTAGCAACATGTTCTCGAAAGAGATTGGGTGGTAAGCTTTTCGTCATGAGATTCGCTAACATGGCTT